AGGAGGGGAGGGGCGAGAAGGCTTTGCTCACCCGGCGGCGGAGTGGTCCAGCGGCCGTGGCGGGTGAACGCGAGAGGAGAGGCGCAAGTAGGAGTCGGCTCAGCGCGAAGGCAGTGCACGAGCCGATCGTCTTGCCGAGCGAGGAGGCTGCGGCACGGCACGGAAGCTGCGTGAGCGGTGTGAGAGCGGCGGTCACTGTGAGCACGGCACACACACGGCGCACGCTAAGCTGCGACGGCTTCGCACGATGAGGTATGCGGCCGACGAGGTGTGACGAGCTTGCTCGGGGCCCGCTCACCGGTGCTGGAGAGGCCGACCGACCATGTGAAGCCAGCGGCGATCTCGACCGGTGTCGTCGGGAGGCAGCAGAGGGTCCAGCCCGCTAGGAAGAGCACGTAGTACGACAGCCCGTGCGGATGCTGCTGCAGCTGCTCGAAGAGGCCCTGCACGAAGACGAGGTGTGCAGACAGTGCCATCCGAGTCCTCGCAGGAGCCGCGGCGAATCCTGTTGGAGCCCGGCAAGAAAAACAATTGTCAGATGTTTTCTTTCTTTCTAGCTTTGAAATCCCTGTGTGGTGGCGGCGACGCGGCGTGCCGTCCTCCCATCCCTCTTTGGGGTTGTATTTTTTTCTCCTGGAGATGCCGTGATTGGAACAAGATCTTCCTTTCCGACACAGACAGAACACTGTCGAGGACTAAAGTCTGCCCAGGTTAGTCAGGGCACGATGCCGGGCGTGAACACAACTAACTCGAACAACTAACGGACGTATCTGCTCCTGACAGAGAGGCATGCATGCACCGCGCTGCGCAGTCTCGCTCCCAAAAGGTGAACCAGAAACAGCTGCTGGCTGTGGTGATGGCAGGCGAGGATTCCGACGTTCAGCTCAATCCGCATCCCGCTCGTGAGTGCATAAGTTGCACTGGAAGCATCGCTGCCCTGCACGGTCCTTTCACGTTCAGGACATGTCCACAGGCTAGTGCCACTCTGACGGAGGATGAGTCGCTGCGCCGGCTGGCACCACACCCAGGTGCGTGCGAGCAAGTGGCTTCCCTTCTTCCTCCCCCCACCCCTGAGAGATAACCTCTGCGCAGGGCTGCGTGAGCGAGTGGACATCAAGAAGGGACACATCATCATTACCGGCCTCGACTCCGACCTCATGCGGCAAGGCGTCCACCCGAGGCTGCAGCACGGTATTGAGCTGCTCTGTGACAACCCGCGCGAGGTGTCTGC